CATCATTGGCTTCATCTTCTTCAGTATTTGTGCTAAGTGGTATTATATCGGGCAGATTCTCCATGGGTCCAGTGTTCGCCGGTGGTGCTTCAGTATCCTGCTCATTAGTTCTAGTCGTGGAGCTGGGCACCTCAAAGTGCTCGGAGAAACTGTAGTTCGAGTCCGAATCCAAATCATGTGGTGTGACAGTGGATTTAGAAGCTGTCAGACTACCGTTGCTGCTGGATTTTTTGGATGCTGCAGACTTGCTCTCAAAATTGCTGCTAATCTCCTCCTGCTGTATTTGTTCGGAAGCAGGCTTTGTTGCAGCAACTTTAGAATCTTTTGCCGCAACCAAAGCAGTATCAGGTCCTGCTGGCAGCTGCTCAGCCACCGCCGAAGAATTTGTAGCTGATGAATTACGACGTGATGCTCTGGCGTGTGGATTGGGCACATAATCATTTGTATAGAGCTTCAGCTGCTGCTGCTGCACTGGAGCATTCTTCTTGCGCTTCTCCGCCGGCTTAGCCAAGCCAACTGCCTTGAGAAAGCGTGCATAGCAGCTGTTCTTCGAGAACGCCGAGCTCCAGTTAAAGTGAAAGTGCAAATCCATGGAAAATGAAGAGCGCAAGTCAGTCAAATAGCTAATGGGTTCACTGCGATCCTGGTAGACCTTCTGATGTGATATAATACGAATGGTGTGGTTTACATTGCGAAACTCGCCCATGCGCTGGCGACACTCCTCAAAGAGATGGCCACGTTGAGCGCAATAGCTGCAGTGCTTTGTGCGATATTGCACGTTGCTGTTTAGCACTGCATTGGTGCGGGTCTAAGGAAAGAAAGTAAGAATTAATCTTGTATTTCGATTAAATCAATTTAGCTTACTGTGGAGTGATAACGACGCCACAAGTCGGGGCACTTGTCGCTGCTGTGGCCACGCATCTTGCACAGCTGGCAGATCATCCGGGTATGAAACGAACACTTGTTGCAAGTCTGCACATAGATAGACTGCTTGGAGCCACACTGTAAGAGTTAGAGAAAAGAGATATAAGTAGAGATACAAGAGGAATACGAGTATGTCTCAAATCAACTTTTCCAACTATCTAAGCCTCTATTACCATTAGCTATATTCTACAGATACCCTACATAACAACACAGCATATATCAAATATGCGACTTACACCCAGGCACATGGCATTGGGGCAGCGTGGCTCGGCATGCCCTGTCATGCCGCACATGTAGCAAATGATGGGCTTGCGTGGACGCGGACATTTGGAGCGCATATGTCCCATTTCATAGCAATTACTGCACTTCAGATTCGAACGTTTGCGCGCAGGTGGAAAGCGATCGGCATGGTTAATACGCCACTCGCTGCGTTGACCTACAAATTGAACAATTAATATCATATAAACAAATTTTTTTATTGAATTAATAAAGTAAAACACTTACCTGACATGCCCCTCAGTATCTTTTGCAGGTTGAAATTCTCGCCATGCCAGCTGTCATTGTAGAAGCGACACATCTCATCATTCCACCCAATCAAATCCTTGACATTCACTTGCTCCTCCAACGCCGGCAAATTGTGCACCACTTGCACCTCAGCCACCTCTGCTTCCAGCTGTGGCTCGGACTGAATTTCAATATTATTTATTTCAGCTTCATTCGCTTCAATATTCTCTGCCTCTGCATCCGCCTCTGGATTCGGTTCCAGTTCCTGGTCCGACTTTGTGGTGCTCACTTCCTGCTTCTGCTTATCAAATTCCATACAGACTGCTACAATCGCATCATTCATCTCTGCCTCATCCTCAGTATTCGCATCGGAGCCAATGCTGTCCATAGTATCATCATTTCGTTGCTCTGGCGTAGACCGTTCCCGGTCCTTCTTCTGTTTGAGCAATCGTTCAGCGATTTGACGTGCTGTGGGCAGCGACTCCTCTGCCGGTGACTCTGAACTGGGGTCATCAATGGGTGTCTTCTTCTTATGCTGCTCAGATGGAATCACACTCTCCGAGTTGCGTCTTTGACTGATGCGTCGTATTTTACGCTTACAACGCTCCACAGCCATACCGCGTGCGATGCCAGGCACACCTGTTGATTGCACACCTGCATCATCATCGCTCTCTGTGTCATTCTGATCGCACTCATTGTTGGGATCCGATTGGCTTTGGTTAGTGCTCGAAGCGCGTCGCTTGCGCAAACGCTTTGTTTTGTTCACAGTGGGCTCTATGACCTGTTCGATGTCCGTCGAATCCGAGTCGGAGTCCACGTTGCGTATAATTGTTGGCACAGGCTTTTGTTTGGCCTTGCAGTAGACACCGCTCTCTGTGAGATCTGATTCGCTCTCATAGACATCCAGAGCACGAAATTGTTGCTCATCTACACGATAGTTCTGTTTGATTTCTTCCAACCTGGAGGGCGGCACAAACTCATATTCCGAGGAGGTGTCCGCCGCCTGTTCCTTCTCCTCACTGGCTGGCTCGGCTGCTTCTCGCATGGCATTCTCTGTAAGCACGAGCAGATCCTCATCCGTAGCGCGAGCACGTTCGGCCAGCAGGCGACTCGTATCCTTTTGTACAATGAAATCATCGCTCGATAACACGGAACTCGAAGGTGAATTCAGCTGCGAAGCCATAGTGACTTGCTCTGTGGTTTGCCGATCGCCGGTCAAACTAACATCGGCTGCATCCATGGCGTTCTCTTCCAGATAAGACAGTTCTGGCTGCTGCTGGTCCTGCTCCTCATCGCTGGCATCGACATTTATAATGGGTACCGGTGGCAACGGCACAATCACTACATCGTCCGCATCTGAGGATTTCTCACTATCCACGAGACTGATTAGCTCGATGGACTTCCCCTTGTTCTGCCTTAGCTTCTTATTGGCCTGCACACGCTTCGATTTTTGACGCTTCTCTGCAAGACGCTGATGCTGCTCGAGCTTACGATTGGCCTTTCCAAATGGCCCTTTCTGCTCACGTTTGGCGATTGGCCAATTGGATGGAATAGCCACCAAAAGTCGTTGATCAAAACGTTCCGGTTCATCGTCTTCAGTTTTTGGGTTCGTGTTCTGTTGTGGTTTCGGTGGTTTTTGTATTTGTGGCTGTTTTTTAGGCTGCATCTTTGGTGGTTGACGCATTTGTTGTTGCTGCAGCAGTTTTTGAACAGGAGTGAGAGCTTTTGGCTGTTTGGTCGAAGAAGCTGACTTCTTGGCAGTGCTGGACTTCTGTGTTGAGTCTTTATCTCGCTTATCCTGCTCTGTAGTTCCGGGCTCGTCGGCTGTGGTAGGAGCTGTGACAATGAGAAGAATGTAAGATATATACTTTATTTTTTCTTGTATGAAAGACACATATATTTTATTGCAAGCTATTAGAGCCAAAATCATTGATATACAAATATAGTTTTGCTATTGTTTAATATCCTGGTGGATTTAGCAAGCTCCTCAGATTCTCAGTCCGAATATCTTTCATTTCGGGACGCCTTAGGCTGTAGCCGTGACGCTTAAGATCACTCAACTGACCCTCATCGATGTGATAGAGTATAAATGGATCCATTTGTAGATCAGCACGATTGGGCCACAATAATATAGCCACAGAGGTGCGAAAATCGTTAACAGCTTGATGAATTTGCTGATGGGATAAATGCAAATTCTCAAGTATAGCCATGTCATGCGGTTGATTCGATTGCTCTGAAAAACGTTTCTGCATTTGCAATGCTTTCTCCAGCTGGTGCACCAGACGCATCAGTACAAATCGCCTATATCGCTCCTCAAAATATTGACGCGGTTTATTATAGCGGCTCCTGTTGCGTCTGATCAATCTGGAGAGTATGGTGACCTCCACGCATGACATCACAACATGAACGCCCACAGTGAGGACAATGTATGAAAATATATACGCTATAGGATTTTGGCTCATCCCATCCAGCCAATAAAGCAGATCGTATCCATAGTAAACATAACAATAGTCCATATAAATAATTGTGCACAACAACTTTAGCAAAAATAGAACAAGAATATAGTAATTAATATCGCTTATGCGATTAAGTAGGACACGCGATGCGGCCATTATCTGACGGAGCATGGTGCTAGCCAGAGAATTCAATACGTAATTTTGAATGTAAATGCTTGTGCGACAAAAATTAATTTCAAATTGCTAAGCAGCGTCGATACAAAATTTGGTATCTCCAAAAAAGTATATACATAAAAAAAACCCGTTCAAATTCCTGGATTTGAGTTCAAACGCGCACACATAAAAATAACTAATTTTAAATAAATAACACGAATTAACTAGTATACAAAAATACATAAAATATATCGATATACATATGAATATACATACATATGTAAAGCACTTTTGTCAGCGCAGTCGCTCACGTTTATATCACAGTATAAGCATATGTATGAGTGTAGGTAGGTAGGAATATGAAACCCAAAATTAAACTTACTTTCAGCTGTGCCTTTTGATTTTGATGTCCAATTATCATTTATTGCTGCAGTTTCGGTATTGTTATCAGCCCAGTAGCGAGGCTTTGCAGTCGCATTGTTGATGATTCGTTTGTTACTCACAAATCGGTGTTGCTGATTCTGTTGCTGTTGTTGTTGTTCTATTTGCTGTTGCGGCGGTGGCATATTCTGTGCATCCACATCCACATCTGCAGTTAGTGTGTGCTGTTGCTGTCCACTAGTTGCATCATTGTAGTGTATGGAGGCATAAAGAATTGATTCCAGCTCATTCAATTGCTCAATGTCCATTTCTTCAAGCTGCAAAAAAGAAAGAGATAAAGTGAAAAGTCACTTGGCTACGCAGTTATGATTTTTGCTCTTGATTTACTTACATCGCTCATCGTGCCAATGCTTGTAGTAGTTGCCTGCCACTATGTTTATTTTTAGCATTAAAAAACAAATCTTGTTATTTTAATTTCTTTATTATAATTTCACCCAAAACCACGTTTTGACTAGAGACGAATGAGTTGTTGTTCTAGCAGCGATATATCGACAGTATTTTCAAATAAATCGATATGCATGAGTGTTGGATAACGCAATAAGCCGATAAGTAATAAAGCAACCGTAACTGTTTGCAAGCCGGGCCACGTACAAGTGCAGGAAATTAACAAAAACTCGAAGTACCAATTAAATGTAAATAAAACAAATAAATTGTGGCATTATTATGCATTAAATAACGTTTTCATTTGATTTTACAGCATGGAGCACATGCATCGCTACGTTTCACCGGTGAATCCAGCGGTCTTTCCACACCTAGCCACAGTTTTACTCATAATTGGTACATTCTTTACTGCTTGGTTCTTCGTATTTGTTGTCTCGCGGAAGAGCTCGAAGGAAAGCACATTGATTAAGGAGCTGCTGATTAGTCTCTGCGCGTCAATATTCCTTGGATTTGGAATTTTGTTTCTCTTACTAACCGTTGGTATTTACGTATGAGAGGCAAGACAAATGCAAGCATTCCCTTTATAAGATATATATTTATATATAAACCGAACATGATTGAATAAAATTAAATGTAGGCATGTGAACGTACGTTGGGTTTTATTCATATACATATTTAATTTCAAAGATTCAATTTTTACTTAAAGCAATACCGAATATATTATAATAACATATCAAATTGTGTGCGGCTTGAATAATTAGTTGCACTTAAAAGACTGCAAACGAAAATATAACTGCAAACGACTGGCCCACGCATTCCACTCATTTTCGATTAGCCAGCCAATCCAGCTTTTTGTCTACACTTTTGCATTGTGGCACGCAATATGAATTGCTTGCGAGAAAGTTGACGCACATGCTTCAAGAACGTCTCCAGATCGATGACACCTCCACGCAAACCCTCGCCCAAATAATAGATGGCATCCTCTGTGGCAGCTTCATCGGCGTAGGCATTAAGTAATCTATAAAATCAATCAAACGATTACCCAGTTACAATTACAGTTAAATATATAGTCAGATTACTAACTGTCTATATAAAGGCGCAGTTGTGGTTACTGCCTCATCAGGATCAATGGCCTCTGCATTCTCCAGGCTCTCCAGACTTTTCTTTAACTCTTCCTCCTTTTCTCGCAATACAGCTATGTTCTTCTGCAATTCAATTTCCTCACGTTCCAGGCGAGCAACGATGGCATCTATCTTGGCACTGCCTTCTACTAGCTCTTGCTTGGTGCGATTCAATGTTTCGATTTCAGCTTGATACTGATTAACCTTTTCCTGTATGCGACGTCTTAACTTGTCCTCAACGGCGCTAATAAGTGATGCTTTGATATGCTCTTCCGTTATGGTGCCTGTTGAGCTAGGAGTGCCTACGCCAGCTGGATTCTATGAGGATGAATATATATCATGAACAAATTATTTCTTTTATTTTATTTTTTTCTTGCATGTGAGAGCACTTACATATCCAATGCTACCTGGGTAGCCAGGCTGTGGATAGTTCATGTATGGCGGATAGCCACCAGAGCTACCAGGCTGTCCACCTGCTGGTGGGTAGGGCATAATGTTCGCACCACCAGTCGGATAAGGCGGAAAGTTGCCACCACTAGCGCCACTTGCGTTTGGATAAGGTAGAAACTGATTGGAGGCACCTGCGCCGCCTGGTTGAGGCATGAAAGCTGCTAGTTCGGTACACTATTAAAAACTCGAAATCGTTAGTTGGATTCTATAACACTTACAATTCGCTGGGTATGGCACAGCGACTTGTTCCTTAGGCTTAGAGTAAACGGGCGGATGATCACCGAATGTCACAATCATAACTTGTATAAGTGATAGCAGATCCGAGCTATGCGGTTGCCAATCATGCAAATACGGCAAATACACCTTGCCATTGTGATCAACATACATGGACACCTTGATCTGCATCGTGGGCGTGGGCTTCACAAAGCACATTGGTGCATTTTGTGGATGAGTGTCCATCAGCCAGATACATATGGGAATGTAGTAGGTGTTGTCTGTGAAATACACATTTATCAATCACTCTAAAAGCTTGCCTTATATATGGATTATAATCAGCACTTACTTTTGTAGACCACCGGTATTGTGCCTTGCAATGCAAACAAATCTTTAACGCTGCCATCGTTAAAAACTGGGGGACAATAAAAAATTGTTCATTTGTTTGTATTTGTAATTCTTAGTCAGCAAATATGGCTTTATCTCACCAAATTTTTCTAAATTATACGTCAGGGAGCGGTACGCAGTAATGACATCCACAACATCTTTCCTAGTGGCCGCAACATTTTTATACTGTTAACGAGACTCAATTAATCAAATAACGATTTTAATATTGCGTGTTGGGCAGTAGAGGATGGATAAGGCACACACTCAAAAAACATGACTCATCGTACCTTGGATAGATATTTAGTTATTTGTGCCTCTTCTATTGCAGGCATTCTATTTCGTTGCTATTTAATTAAATTTAGAATCAGCACCTGCTACTTTAACAATTATTATAAAATAAATTTCTTTCTAGTCGCTAAACGAAAACAAAGTCGTCAATTGAGTATTTTTAGAGCTATCATAGAATCGAGTACATCCCTTCTCTTATCGCACACACTCGATAACATTACAAAGTATCGATAGTCATTGCGTTACGTGATGATAGTATGGAAAATTCGTTATATTTGAATAAATTTAAAAAACGTTTAAATATATAAAACATCATTTAAAAAATAATTGTTTATTTTTGCTTCGCGCTTTTCTTCTTCTAATTAATTTCTACAAACGTGGGAAATGATATGTTCATCGTGCATTGCGTTGTGGATACCTCCCAACTGACAAATGGGTCGATTTTGCAGGCAGCTTACTTTGCTTTTGGCATATTGCGGTGTTTCGGGCGTCTGTAATCAAATAAGAGCATTGAAATCGTAATTTTTTAATAAAATTCAAAAATAAAACGTCACCTCATTGGCTTGGCTTTGTATCTTAAATGTAACTTTATTTGAATACTTTCGTTTTTTGTCTCTTTACTCATTAGGCATATACATATAAATATATATATTTATATAGGTATATATATATCGAATGAGATATATATTTATAAATATAGATATATATATTTATATTATTGTGTGTGTGTTTTTTTGTTGGATTTGTGTCAGTGTACTTAGCCAATGTTCAGTTAACTAGGTATTACTATAGGTATTGTTCATTTGTTACTTGTTTTTAAATATATATTTTATATAAATATGTATTTTTAATAGGTTTATATATGTATGTATATTATAAAAATCATCATCGTCATCGTCGTCGTCGTCGTCATTCTAAGCGCACTCGCTTTCTCATTGTGGGTGGTTGGTTAAATTTTAGTTGTTAAATTTGTGAATTACACATATAAAAATAATTCATTTAGGTTTACTTGCGTTTCTTCATCGGTGACGCTTTTTTCTTACGCTACACGTATTTTATGTGTATTTTAATATATAATGTATATATATATATATGCTTTTGTATATGCTGGAAAATGTGAAGGAGGGGGTTCAAAGATAGCATCTTACTACTAAAAACCATTAAATAGTTTAACTCATTCTTTTGCTTTTTGTTTTGTTTTATCATCTTATCTGCTTTAAGTTCACATATATTTTAATGCTATTGTTAGAATACAAAATGTTTCCCTCGTATCATATATTATGTTATATATAGATTTTCCATTATTTTATATATGTATATATATAAATTTTATATATTATTTTTGTGCTACATATTTGCATTATTTTTATTGCTTTAATCGGCGTTTGCGATTTCCACTTTCAATTTAATTTTCTTGTTCATTTCCGTCTTATTCTTCCTCCTCTTCGTTTTTTTTTTATTTATTTATTTTTTTGGTAAAGTAAATTTAAAAATAGCGCGCAAAGTTAGCTTTCCAATAATTTCCATATTCTTTTTCATTTCAATTAATTTTTCCATTCAATTGTTTGGTTTTTGTTTTGGCACATTAATGCATTCATTGCCGTTAAATTAGTAAAACAAGTGTGTTTCATCATAATTCCTCATAAATAACAACACATCGCGTACGGATACACATACATATATATGTTTAGATATATATATGTATATGAATATATATGCATGCACAGACTGGTATTTCAAAATGTTTACGAAACGTAAGTGTTTAACAACAAGTGAAGCGTGGGCATGGGCGTGGTCGGTCGTGCACAATATACATATAAAATATTTTAGATAGCAACGTTTCTTTCTCTTCTTCTTCTTATAAGGTTTTTGTTTTATTTCATATCAAATAAGTGAAAAAATTGTACATAGGTTAGCGAGCGCAAAATAAAAATGCATTTGCACGATTAATTCAAGTCGATATATAGATAGATATATATGTTTTAAGGTTTGTTCTGTTCATCTTTTTGTTTGCGTATGTTTCATTCATTGTTATAGTTTTTGCTTTTTTTTCTTTTCTTTTTTGTTAAGTGTATCGAGAAAAATTTGTTCTAAAATGTCAGTCTATTGCGCAAGAATCTAACTTTTGTGCTTTCCTAAGTTTTAAATGTTGCTGTTGTTTTATTTCTTGTCCTGTTTTTTTCTTGTTTTTTTATTTTATATATAAAAAAAATTCCCTAATTTGCATTGTCATTATCGTTTCAACTAATGCGACTTTATCATCGCATTGTTCGCTGTCCAACTCGTGTGTGTATGTGTGGGTGTATTTGTATCTCTGTGCGTGTTTGTGTGTGTGTGTGCAAGAATTTGTGTCGCGCTGACATTTGATGTTAGCTCGATAAGACCTACATACATACATATACATACACATACATAGATACATATGCCCAGAATTGGGAATCACTGTCACGCTACTATGCCACTATATTCTGATTCAATTGCTACAACTTCTACGGTCTACTACTGTTTTCTGTGGCTAACGGCAAGGACTTAACCTAGCTTCGTGTACGCGTAGACGGCAATGACGCCCACAACAACACCAGCGGCAATATATGTGAGTAATGACCTTCGTTTTTTCGCCGCCTGCTGATTGTCCTCGTTTTCACGCTGTTTGCGCTTAATTTCGTTGACTTTCTGTTCCAGATTTGCTTGGTATTCATTGCGTTTTCGCCGTTTCAGCTCATCCCCGGTACTGCAAATACCATAATTCGAATTAATAATAATATTTATCTTATATATATTTATATCTTTCATCCTTATATACCTCGTCACATCAATGCCGTTGACCTTGTGCTGATCAATCGCTGTTGGCTTTTCGCTGTTGGCATTAACATCATCTTCATGGGGCTTAAGGTTTGTGACATCGCCATTGGCTGGCTCCGCCTTGTGCTCATTAATATTCTCATATTCCTCATCTTCATCATCTTCGTTGTCATCATAGGCTTCGTCGTCGTCATCGCTATCCGATTCCAGTTCGCTATGCTTTGGCAACTTGGGCAGCGGCGGGAGTGGACGATTGTTAAGCAAACTATCTGCTACTTCGGCATTTATGATCTCAGGTTGACTGCTTATGATATTGTTGAGAGCATCCTTGCTGCTCAGCGTCTGCTTATCGGTGGTCATTAATCCATTGTCATCGCCTATGGTCACATTGTCACCATTGGCTTGCGCTGCTCGCATATCCAGAGAGAGCACTCCACCTGTATTGGGCGCCAGTGGCAAGTTCAGCGAATGAGAACGTGGAGGCAATGGAGGCGGTTGCTCATCCTGCATGTGCGGATCCGTCTCATTGCTAATGATTGGCTCTTCAGCACTAAGAAAGCTCTGCAAACATAAATAATACAAATTAGCAAAACATATCGCAAAAAATAAAATAAAGCATTACGTCCACAATTCACTCAAAAACTTAAAAAGTTCAAAAAAGCATCTAGCAAAGCTAAAATAATTACAAATTAACATATTTGATTTAAAGCATACGGTTTTATAAAACAAACTTTTGATTTTGTTTTAAACATTTACCTACATTTCATCAATTATTAATTCATAACATTTTAGTTTGCAACACAATTTCTATACAATATTATCAATAACCCATCAAAGGTCTGTTTAAACGGTGATGGTCGATGTGGCCTGCTCTTATGAACTCTTTATCTATTTGAAATCGAAATTCAAGCGTAATTTCTTATTGGTCGTCAATATACGTACAGGATCGTTCAGTTTTTTGATGCCCTCGATTATTGCCTGATATGAAAAATCCAGCTGATCAGCCGTTTGTATAAGTCCCAGTCGGTAGGTGCGCAGTTCGCACAGTACTTTCGATACATTGCACTCGCCATACTTGTCCACCAGCACCAGACAGCAGTCGACCAAGCAAAATGTGCCAGATCGTCCAATGCCGGCACTGCAATGGACCACAGCTGGACCGACGTCCTCCTTGAGTGCACCTGAGTCGCGCACCTGCTGTAAGAACTTTAGAAATGCATCCGGTGAACTGGGTATGCCAAAGTCCGGCCAGGTTGTATAATGGAATTGCATAACTTCACGACTCTTATTCGTTTCGAGATCAGTTAATCTAAGATAGGAGATAAATTAGTAATTGTTTGTCAAGCATGCTTTTCCGTAAGGCTATCTCACTTGAACCACCGCCGCACAAAGTTCTGATAGTTCTCGCAGCGAATCAGCTCCACAGACAGATTAACATCTTTTAGATTAAGCGCATTATTGGCTCCCAGCTGATCCGGCCAATAGGGATGGCATTTAACCTGCTTCTTCTCCTTCAGCTTGTTGAGCATTAGAATAGCGCGTGAGTTTTGCTCCCAGACCATCAACCAAAAGTGACCCACCGTATCCTGCAGCGGACCCTGTGTCAGTATATATTGACGATCGGCACGGTCCAGCTGTCGATTGTTTTCGAAATTTGAAAGGAACGATATTACTTGGATGGTTTTTTAATTGAAGTCTCACTGACTCACCTTCACCAGGTTGGCATTGATGTAATCAATAGTGCCGCGTTTTAGCACAATGCGCGAATGATCATAGGGATTGACATCTCTATATCGATTCAGTCCTCGATTCTGTGGACGATCCGATTCCAGTGTGGTGTACATTTGCGTTTTGGCCCCGCGTTCGCATATTTCACATATTTCCTGCAAGCAAAAACACAATGAGCACAATCAATTATGACATTGCGGAATTTCGCCTTGTGATTCACAATTATGCAGAAAACAAAATGCAAATAGATAGTAAATTAAATTTTTTTGGGGTTGCCCTTACATTGCGTGCTCGACAGCCAGTCATGGGTAACAAGTTGCGTTATCTTAGCATAGCGACTGATTGGCTTGGCCGGCCGTGTCTATTCTCTTTGCCAAGCAGATTGAGAGAGCTGGCATGACTAATTGCTTGGCCAACGGTATTATCTTGATAACTGTTATTCGTTATCAATTGGCGCAATTATAAGCCCCACTCTTCATATCGCACCCACCGCTAACAACAAGTTCAATGCCATTGATCCACTCTAGTTAAGTTAAGCTCAAAGCCAATTGCTGCCCACTTGGCTAAGTAGTGCAATTTACATTCAGTGTGTAAATGGCGAGTGAATCAGGCAGTGAGCGCGAGGGGAGGCAGATGAGTTATGACTAACGAGGCATGCGGCATTAATGCAGTTATTTTTTGTTTGTTTTTTTATTGTTGCTGCTCGAGTTGTTTCATTTCGTGGTATTGTATGCGACGCATTTTTTTTTTTTTTTTTTTTTTTTTTTTTGTTTATTTCTGATTGCAGTGCGAAAAACTGAAATCAGTTGCTAATTGTCAGTTCGTCATTAAGTAGGTGAATCAGTTATATTAAGTCGTCAAGCCACTCCTCGATAATCAGCACAAATTGAGGCTGACGACTGTGGCGAGTGTTATGAAATTTAATTGAAAAGAACATTGTCCGATAACAACGGGAGTGTGTAAGAGAGGGGCGAGGGGCGCGATAGACACAGACAGGGGAGAGCGAGATAAGCGGCTCAGGAACAATACAATATATGCGTATAAGCCAAAAATATCTGCGATAAGCATCAATTCTCTTATCAGAACTGTAACTGTTACCAGCGCACTTCTTTCTTATCAACAACTGTTTATCCGGAGAAAAAAAAAAAAAAAAACAGATTCAATTTATTGTCTACTCAATAGATAAATACATACATACGAAATGAGCACTAAACTGCAGATTTTTTGTTAACTTAGTTCAAGAAGATTTTTAATTTTTAATATTAATAAAAGAAATTTAATTGTAAAAATGAAAACATTCTATTCAATTTATGAGAATCACAAAGATAGGATTTAATTATTTTCTTAATATTTCACTCCCGTTCTCACTTCCCAATCGATAATTATGTTTTCTTTCCATTGAATACAAGCTAAATATTGTCGACTTCACTTAACAGCTAATATACACCTTGTGTAGCCACATGTTTTACGTGGTATGGGAATTGCATGCTGCATGAATTTCATTGCAACAAATAACGAACCGCATAGAATGTGGGCAGCGCGATCGTCACAGTCTGCGTGATATTTTGCTGTTGTTGCTGTTACTGTCATAATAAGCCAAAGCAAAGGTGATAAAAGAAAGGCAAAAACATAGCATAAGAAAGCAGCACAATACGGTAAATAATTGTAGCTTAAAGTGACCATAAAGCATAACAAACAATTTGAAACGTTTTCTGCTGCTATTATTATTTATGTTGTGTCTGTTGGAGGCGGCGCAGGAGGAGGAGGAACATAATTAAATGGAAATGTTCGTTTGTACAAAGGAAATGCTTTCAAGCGAAAAACAATTTGGATATTTCAGCAAGCTTGGCTGTCGCCGATGTCGAGTTAGTGGGAAAGTTAGATTATCCTCGCTGCGCACAAAGGACCCACAAACACACACACACACGCACGCACACAAAGGATGGCGGTCTGAGAACAAATTGAGTTCATTACACAAAAATTCAAGCACACATACATACGCATCACACACACACACACACACAATACACACAGATACGCAGCAGGCAATGTCATCCTAACTGCGAAGTTAAATTCCGTGAAATCCAAATTCAAGTGAGTGGCAAAGAAGAAGCGGGCTAAAGCAACAGCTGAAGACACAATTCGCCGGAACTGGCCATAAAGCAGAAACTCCAGCTCTGGCAGACGAAGCAGCAGCAGCCGCAGTAGCATTGGAAGCTGAAAAGAAATCCAGGCCCAGACACCGAGACTTATGCCCTTTCTATATGTATGCGTGTGTGTATGAGAATAAGAGAGAGAGAGAAAGAGAGCGAGAGACTTAAACAACTTGCATTGGCAAATCCTGTGCATTGCCAATTTTATTTACGTTCGCTCGTCAGACAGATTGTAATTGTGCTCCTTTACAACACTAGAAGTGTGTCTGCGGTAAGTGTTGTTTAATGCATTTGCTGAAGAGTAAGCAACAATTACAAATATGTATCAGTGGATAGCAATCAAAACAATTGAAATTCAAAACATAAACACACATACATACATACACAAATACGTATGTAATTCCCAGAATTATGTATAAATGCCCACAACAAATTCGCAGAACTCCAAATGCTTGCGAGGTGTACGCCGCCTTTTTTCTCTATTTGTGTTATCAATAATAGTAAAATAACGTCAAAGCCATTTTTGGCAATCCTAATCGTAGCAGTTCGCTTGACTGCATGCCCATTCAAAAGTCCAGTGCAGAAAATGGCCACAGTGTATCAGAACTGAAGCGAATTTCAGGGAAAAAGAGAGAAAAGAAGAGGCAGCGCAGCAGCAGCATCCAAGAGCAACAAGCGAGAGCGCATGCAAAGTGCAGCAGGTGAGCGTTAGCGATGCTTTGCATGTGTGCGTGTACGACAGTGAGCGACTCAAATTCTCTACATGTGTGTGTGTGTGTGTGTTTGAGAGAATGTGCCTGTGAAATTTTCGGCCAAGCGCTGCGCGAGCGCCACAAACTAAAGCCAAAGACCGGAGTTGGGCTGCTGCTGCTGCGGCTGCTGACCAACGCCGACACCAAAAGCTACAAATACAGGCGCACGCTCACATGACAGCGATGGGAACAACAACAACACAACAACAAAATAATAGCACAGTGGGGCTGACCGTGAGCGGCGTGCCTACACAGACACTACACGAATACACACGCATACATGTGTAGTTGTTTTTTTTTTTTTGCCGTGTATATGTGTATGTGTAGTGGTGGTGGTGTTGGAGGCATCGGCATCTGCAGAAGCCTTTTGCGCACTCATCACATTTTCGTGGAAATCGAATGAAAAAAGGAATAAAATAGTATGTGTGCGCCCGAGTGAATGCCTGTGAGTGTGTGTAATGTACATGCTTGTGGTTGTGTGTGCGTGTTTGCTCGTGCTCTGCTTCTGGCCTGTATGTAGCTGTTCCTCTTTAGGTGTACAATATACAATGATATGGTGGTACACTTACCTTGTAGTATCGATTCCAACCCGATCCATTTTTTTTGTCATTATATTCCTGTTCGATTTTGAGCCTGGCATTATCCCTTGTCGGCGTTGCAGCACGTTTCTCACTCATTGTACACTTAATTATGATTGTGTGTGTTGCTTGTTATTTTAGAATTTCGATTTATTTGTAATGTCTGCTGCTATTGCTCGCTCGCTAGCTGGCTTACTTTTCTTTTTCGTACGTTTTGCGTTTTGTTTTCCACACACCGACACACCAACAGACACAAACGACTCTGAAACAACCGAGCAAATAGTGCGTAAGAAAATTTGACTACTGCGGCGACGGTCTGACGGTTTGTTGGTTGGTTGTTCGTCTGTTGCTAACACGCTGTACCGCGAATGCTGGCGGGGATTATTTATAAATAATTAACTATAAACGGTCAGCATTTGACACATTATTCAATTGATACTGTGTTAAAACACCAAATGCGTGCGTTTAGTCTTGATTAGTAATGTTTTTCTCCTTCTCGCCTTTTTTCTTTCCGCAAAATTAGCAGTAATTGATGTTTCGATGACGAGCAACAAAACCTATCGTTCTATCGATTGGCAACTTAGTGCATAAACACATGGTCACACTGGCCCACAAGTGAAGCAAGTTGGCCCGCCCGTTCGCAGTCAGCTGTTTTTAGTCGCGTAATAATTCTTGGTTAAAATAAAAATGATAAAAACGCGTATTTTTCGATTAATTCGGGATACACGTTTAAGCGTGCCTATTTTACGTGGCTTTCATCATGAATTCAGCAAACCTGAACCGCAGAAAAATGCAAAACTTGTTGAAAAGGAACAACAATCGTTTGTAGCTGGCGGCGTGCAAAATAAATACAAAGTCTTCCGCGATGATGAAGCACTGGAAATCTTCGATGTGGAGGAGGCTCGTTATCAGGAGCAAGATCTGCCACAAGATGCCCAAGAGGATCAGTATATGGGTCTTAATTTGAAGAGTAAGTTCGAGACTTTACCTTGATTAGGCATTATTTATACCTAATCCCTTGCAGGAGGTATTCGCGGCGTCTTCGATGTTGAGGATTTGGTTGAGCTACTGCGCAAGGAGAATGTGGATGATATATTTGTTTGCTATGTGCCCGAGGAACTTAAGTATGTGGATCATCTAGTTGTTTGTAGCGGACGCAGCTATCGCCATATGTTGGCCACGGCGGAATTTGTGCGCCGCATGTTCAAGATTAAGCGTTCCAAAGGGGACATACTGCCTCGCATCGAGGGCGAGAAAAGTCGAGATTGGATGGCCATGGATTTGGGTAGGCAACTGCCATGCTCTTAAAAATTATGGCATTAAATAAATCATCTAATATATTCTCCCTTAGGCAACATTGCTCTGCACATCTTTTCGCCCCAGGCTCGCGAGGATTATGATCTGGAATCGCTATGGGCCATTGGTCCGCAATACGATCACGAAAGCCAAAAGCCACAGAATCCACTGGGCAACATATTTATAGCCCAGCTGCCCCAGCCCGAAGCCTAGTTTGTTAAATATAAATGAAACTGTTTTTTTAAGCGCACAATTTTTTATTGTTGCTCTCTACCAGACGACCGCGTCATCCGATAGCTTCTTGTGGAAGTCATAGAGACTGGGAAAGACGTGATTGCGTTTGATGTCCGTGCCGTATTTCTTGGACAGATACGAGTAGCTCTTCTCATGCACCAGTGCCGCATGCCAGCCGGCTTCCTTGGCGCCCAGATAGTCTGTGGTCGGTCCATCGCCAATGTGCAGACACTCGGCAGGCTTCAGATTCGAAAGCTTTGATTCCTCCATGGCGCGCTGAAAGATGGCCAACTGTGGCTTCTCCGCCTTGGCCGTATACGAGTTGAGCGCAAAGTCCAAGTATCGATCGAGCTTTGTGTTGCGCAGCAGCGCATCCAGTCGCGGATCAAAGTTGGCAATGACCCCGACTTTGAGTTTGTTGTCCGTTAGACTGTGCTTGCGAAGCTGCTGAAGCAGATCCACGCTGCCGTTGCATGGCTGCCAGCAGATCGTCGTCTTATACAGCTCCAGCAAATGGTTAACGAAATTATCTAATTTCTCATCGGGTATGGCTGCTCCGCTCTCTGCAAAGGTGCCTGTCCGGCCGGAGCAACGAGAATGTATTTTAAGCTCTTGAACTTTGAACTTGAGCCGAGAGGCAGCCACAGTTTATCGCTTACCTGCTATCAGCTGACGCCACCACTGCTGCCACTCAAGTCGCGGCGATGTGTCCACACCAAAGTTAGGATAATCACGATTCATTTTATACCTGCCAGATGAGAGAGAGAGAGAAATCTCAACTGTGGTTTATTTGTAGCCATCTCAATTGCTTACCAATTGGCTTTGTAATTCTTGGCCAGGTCATTGTTATCGCAGCGCGCACCAAACAACGCACCGATTTCGCCATATTGTTTGCCGGGACTGGTCCGAAATTGCAGCAGCGTATTGGTAACATCGAAGGTTATCAAACGAAAGCGATTCAGGCTGCGCATCGTTTTGCTTTGTCCGGTGGGGTCTCTCTTTCAATCAACTGTGCTGATAGCAATTAAACTTGTGTGGTGTTGTGTTGCGAGCGACCGCTATTTGTGTACTACGTGAGCTGTGTCCATAATTGTTTTGTATATATGCTGCTGCGCTGCTGCTGCTACTGCTACTGCTGCTGTTGCTGCTATTTTCCTTATCAGCTCCAGATTTGTATAACTGCTTGTGTGTGTTTTGTTATTTGTTGTCGGGCTTTGTATCGGCAGCAGATGGCTAGCAATTTTATTAATGACAATTCACCTAACTGTCGCTTGTTATTAAAAAGCTCAGCTTATCAGAGCTCAATTTTAATAAGAAATTATTGAGGTGCATTGCATTGATTAGCCTCTCTTATCAGCAAAGCTTTTTGCTTGAAAAGCGCGCGATTAGCTGTGTGGTGCTGCCAGACTGATCGCACTCAGTGGCAGCCAACAGCAACAGCACTGCCAGCCTTAAGTGAATGTGTTTAGCGAAGACAAGAACCCCCGCGCAAATTTGAATTCTATTTTAAAACCTGTAACGCTCAAGTTCAAGCTGCAACGTGCTGCCATTTCGAGGTCGACTACGTTTTAGCCAAAATATGCGGCGCTGCTGAAGTTTGGCATATGGCAGACGTGTCAGTTTTATTAATGTTCGTGGGAAGCAATAACAAGGCGCATACAACAACAGCAATGCTTGCACGTATCTGCTGTTTTGACCTAGCAAAGTGTCTGACTACCTGCCTCAAGTTGCGGAATTGTTGATTACTTTTTGTTTTTTGATTTCGCCGTTCTGCAATTGCATGAAAAATTTGTGATTTGGAAAAAGTGCGACCAACTAATAACAATGGAATAACAACAAATACTTGTTATGGTATTTAGTTAGGCATTTGCATTACTCTTGGTATGCATTTGGTATTAGTTATGGTATTTATTTAAGTTATTTATATATTGGAAAAAAAAAATGCTGAATAGCCAAATTTGTATCCTTTTATTGATGAGCCGCGGCAAAATGAGACGAATCAAACATAAAGCATAATAACAAAAACCCACGCACACACACACACAGTTGTACAAATAAAGTGCCGTATAAGGTATTCGAATGGAATTCCGGTGAAAAGAGACACGCATAAAAAAAACAACATAACAAAAGCATAAATTCATTCATATGCTCAACGAGTCAGGCGACGACGGTTGCGGCTGCAGCGACACCAACAGCACCAGCAACAATAGAGGCAGCTCCCTCTAAAACCCAATGGACCAAAAGTGCTTGGCCAAATCACACACACACACACATACACACAATCATGCTTCGTGCGCAGCTCGGATCGCAGCGCTGATTTCTGTTGACTTGCGCGCCCACAAAAAAAAGAAGGAGAGCTGCTGTCGCTGCTGCTGCTGCTGCAAAAAAAAAAAAAAAACTTTAAACTTTCTGCTTATTTAAGCTTTCGTTGCTGCGCCCAATTTTCGCTCGTTTTCGCTATAAATAAAGTATCAATTTGCCTCGTTCAGAGTTTTGGGCTTCGGATTTCTATGGAAGGGCGAGGGCGAGTGCGCAAATACTCTGTAAATTCCATAAATGCCAAAGATCGTTAGAGTGTGTGCGCTTTTCGGGCTGTCATTCGTTTTGCAGAGGGCCACGAAATGCAGCCTTTTATTTATTTGGGCCAAATCAGCGATACCAAGAAAAATGAGGCGTGGTATGAATTGAATTTGCTAAAAACTTCATTTTCAGAGGGATGGCTGGAATGGAGGAATGGCTGGCTGAGATGAGAGAGTTGCTTGTTTAACAGCATGAAATATGCCGTAGATGGACTTGGCGAATTGTTTAAAAATGGTATTTTTTAGCGTATTTTTTATGGGATGCTTCAATGTTGTTATGCAAAGGGGAAATTTGAATAATATCTGTTGTGAATAAAATAGACTAGGTATTTAATTAGAGGCTGTAAGACATGAGAGGAGGCTCGAGAAAAGGGTTTAGTACCTTAAGTAACTTATAAATATACATAAATGTGGGTACAAGTGTTAATAAAACATATAAATATAAATAGATAAGTATCAATAAGCTCGAGGGCTGTTTGAAAATTTAATTTCCTATGCTACACTTCAAAAGTTCTCCTTGGCGGTTGTAGCTGTGTTGACAGAAGAAGTAAGCGTATAAATAGCTCTCGTATCTCATATCTAAACCTAAGCAGTACAATCTTTTATGTTAGAGGTTGCCCACACCGAAATAACACTGAAAATCCACTTTGACTGATAACTGCAAATATTTGCACTGAAACAAGGCTAAGCTAGATATCTACAGACCCATGTACCATGGAGCCAATGATTACAAAGTATTTCAGTTTCGCCAACTACTTCAGTTGCAAAAGTAAAAAGAAGAAGAGTAAGAATGAAAGAATATACATATATATGTATATAATATATATATGAGAAGTGAGCAATAAGTAATAAAAAGGCCGCCCAACTTTCAACAAAAAACTTTCCCAAGAAAATTAAGCAAGCAAGCAGCTCAACCAAATCAACTCAACTCAACTCAACTCAGCTCGACTCGACTCGACTCGACTCGAGTCAAAGCCAAGCCAATGGCAAGGCAAAGGCGAGCCAAAGCAAACCAAACCAAGCCACGTCAAGCCGCCAGCCAGCCAGCCAACCAATAATAATAAAGTCAATGACTCTCGTGGAATTTCATGTTGGCCCTTTTCGAAATGTGTCTGCCAGTCGGTCGGCCCAACTCCAACTCCAACTCCAACTTGGCTGCTTGGCCGTCTGCCCGTCTGTCTCTTCGTCTCTCTGTCTGTTTGTCTGTCTGACTGGCTGCCTGACTGCCTTTTAATATAATCTGCACTTTGGGTCTTTGGCTGCCGCCGCTTTTTATTGTTCTTGTTGTTGTTGTCGTTGCAGTTTGTTGTTGTTGTTTTGATTGGTCGTTTTAACCTGTTTGCGAATTTCTACCATGTTAATAAATAATTTTTAGAGGATTCGCCAGGTACGCTTAGGAGTCGGCCAGCAGCAGGAGCGCCATCAGTAGCCAAACATTGGCAGAGCAGATGACGACAACGATGATGACATTGACTTGGACTTGGACTCGGACTGCAGCCTAGATTCTACTGGCTATGGGCAGTTTTCGCGGGAAACTCAATTTGTCATTGTTGTTGGCTTTATATACGATAGAAGCTCTCGACTCATACTCATTCTCTCATACTCTCTTCTAGAAACATATCGAACCCTCAGAGTCCACACCCTAAAAGTTCGTACTGCACATTCAAAGTTCAATTTTGAATATCAAAATTTTATAGTATTATGAAGTAGTCATAATGTTGATCATAATTCATTGATTCATTGTCTCCACATCTTAAGCAAATCATTGACTCTCTAGAGCCCACATTCGCACTCCCTACTCGATATCCATATAGGTTCCACACTCATCCTCTGCACATTCATTTTTTTTTGCTGTTTACCAACACTAGAGTACAGCAGATACTAATGCTTTATTCTCTCTTATAAGCTTTTCCCACTCGTTTAGAGGTCCATCACAAATCCTTTTCTGTTCACTACTCAAAAACCATAAATATCTATCTATTTTTCAGTATTACTACAGTAAAATAGGGTTTAATTTTTCAATATATTTAATTTTAAATTAAAAATAAAAAGTAAAATTCAATAAAATAATTCCCATCTAATTTTTCTCATGCTTAAAATTATGCAGTGAAAAGCTCGCCCAAAAGTATGCTAGAAAATACAGTAGGAGCCCCAACACTGAATCATTCCATTTATAGTGCTCTAAAGTTCTAAAATTTTCATGGTTTTCAAGACTTTAAAGTTAAGTTCATAAAATTTATAGTAAGTTTTTCTTACAACTTTTGAAATTTTGAACTTTTAGGAATTTTAGCTTTACCTAATATGAGTTACAAATCTCAACAGTTGCATGAAAACAGTTACTATAAATTTCTAAATTTCTAAAGATTTCAAAATTTCTCGAAGTTTTCTTTCATATATTCAGGATCATCATGCAAATTGCATTACCTTTTCAA